GTGGAGGCGTAACGATTGATGACAGTGGGATGACAACGGTTGACCTTAACAAGGTTGGATACTCGGACGAACCTTTTGTCCTTGTCAATGATGTAACCCAAGTTTTTTACGTCAAGGACATGTCTAGCAAAGGAAAAAAGGGCAAAGTGACTGACGAGCCGAAGCGCCACGTGGTTCTTCCGGGGAAAAGAAAAATCGTCGGAGTAGAGGACAAGACTGACGAGGATTACGATCAGTTTGATGGGCAACCCCCTTTCACGGCCGACCTAGTGCACCTCAAGAAGCAGCCAAGAATTTTGTACGCCACAGCGGTTGGGTTGTGAGGGACAACATGCCTGTCAGCACGGTGTACTGGCGCAGAACAAGGGCACGCGGGGATGATGACAGCTTTGTCCCGGACTCAGAGAAAGAGATGTTGTGGACCACAATGCTCGAGACGTTCACGCTACCCGCGGGTACGGAAAACTTAGTGAAACAGTGGACTCTGAAGAAAATGGCAGAACAGTTCCAGAGCTTCAAGGGAGATCTCTACAAGAAATACATCCTGAAGGGACTAACACCGAACTTCGACGTATTCCCAAAGCTAAGGGATCATTGGGACGAGTTCGTTGCTTACAAGACAGGGCAACAAGGGCAAGCGATGATGGCTAGAAACAAAGAAAATGCCGCCAAGAAGAAGTACCATCACCACTTGGGGTCAGGCGGATATAGCGTCGCGAAGCCGAAGTGGGAGGAGATGGAGGCTAGCTTGCTTGAGAGGGGTATCGAACCGGCCACCGCTAATTGGCCGGATCGATCGAAGTTCTGGTACTATGCTCACGGTGGAACGCTTAACCCAGTTGATGGCTCCCTTGTCTTCAGCGATCAGATACACGAGGCTGCCAGTCGACTAACGGACGTAGTGGTAGCCTCTTCTCAGGGCACATTCCGACCCGACAGAGAGAAGGATGAGCTGTCACTTGCCCTACAGACTCCCGAGCATCCAGGACGAACACGAGGGAAAGGCGTGATTCCCTGGAAGATTGGATTTAAGGAGGACATCCACACGTACAGGAGTCGGATGAGGAGCAAGAGAGATACCGAGGCGAAGATTGCAGATCTTGAGTACAGGGTATCGAGCTACGAGCTCAGCATGCAAGAGGAGGTGGCAAGGAAGGTGGATGAATGTATGGCCGCACATCGGTCCCAGGATCCCCAGCCGTACATTCATCCTGCAATGGTTAGCCCATCAGGCAATTGTAGCAGCTGCGCCTCAACGGGGCAGGTCGGATCACAGAGCATGGACGCCATGCAAACCCAGGACGAAACCTCCTGCCCCGTTGATGAGATCACGCAGCGGACACCATGTGAGCTGCATATTCCCTTCAAGAACTTATCAATCAAGGTATGCTCGTAGTTTGATGATTTTTGACTTGTACATTCCACAAGTTGCTGCTTAGGTTGATTACTAATAGATAACCTCTCATCACGTGAAGGTGGCGTCGGGAATGGCCATCCCAACGGACCCTTCCGGGACTTACCACTGCAGGCCGATTCCAGCAGGATACTCGAGGGTCGAAGTTGAGCTGGTGGAAGCCGCGTACAAGGACCTCGAGTTGGACTACCCAGGAGGGGACGGTGAGACGCATCTACGAGACACAAGCCACGCCATCATACTATGGCGCAAGCGGTACATCATCCTTCCTGGGCGACAAGCGGCATTTCGTGCACCATCTCCTCCGGCTCCGCCATCTCCTCCTGCACCATCTCCTCCGGCTCCTCCGCCACCTCCTGCTGCACCATCTCCTTCGGCTCCTCCGCCACCTCCTGCTGCACCATCTCCTCTGGCTCCTCCGCCTCCTCCGCCTCCACCGTGTCCGCCTGCACCTCCCAAGACAAGGTCTCGCCAAGCTCCACCGCCTGCCCGCACAAGGGCAACAAAGAAGGCGAAAGTTGACGCCACCAAAAACAAGGAGCCACCGTACGATTGCAGTCAAGAGGAGCTCGATGCTTATGTGGCAGGAGAGGTGAAGAGGCAACTCAAGCCTCGGAGTCCTAAAAAGAAGATACCTATTGACCCGAGCATGAAGACCTTCTTCAAGGGAATGTCCAAAACAAACAAGGAGGCGTTAAAGATATCGGACTATGATCGAACACTTCAAAGAGCCTATCACAAGAAGTCCAAACCAGTCCCTCAGCTTGGAGAACAACCAAACCAAGAGGTCGAGCCGTTGGTGACCGGCGAAGATTTTGGCATAACGGATTTCATTGCAGACACCGGTCTATCTGTGGATCAGTTGGTTGGAGCCGCACCAATCCCGAAGGCGGAAGTGGCATACAAGTTTGAACTCGGTAAACCGCTTGTCAAACCTGAACAGCTGGAGTCCCTACCGACACAGATGTACAAATTCCATGAACGGTACATGGAAATGAGCGCCAACGGTAGAGAGATGTTCGGGGCGAGGATTAGAAACCCCGACTTCTTGCAAGGAGACGATGTTCTCTGGATCCATTTCAAGGATCTCTTCGATCTGTACCAGTTGGACGCCCTCGACGTCTCTCTCTTGAGCGCATGGATTTTGTGAGTATCTTTGAGTTCGATTTGTTTCGTTCAATAATTAGCTCCTGGCATATATGTAAGCAATAATACTTTCCTTTCATCGTTGCAGAATGGAGATTCAAAGGGCCCGACGGCGGAGGGTCTACGATACTGGGTTCATCGACCCTCGGAAAATCAACTCCGAAATGGTTGACAAGTACGAGAAAGACACAGAGGACAATCTCGTCCATCTCCTAACGCAGCAGCATTTCAAGACGTACATATTACTGCCGTACAACACAGAGTGAGTTTTTATTGTCGTTGACAAAAATTTCATTCCCATACATATAGCATGTACATTTTCGATCATATATATCTCATCTCACGCATATTCCAGATTCCACCGGGTCCTGTTATTCTTCGACTTGGATGCATGCAGAGTCACTGTGTACGACTCAATGAATAAAGAGGAGAAGATTTTTGACAACGTCTTCAAACTGATAGACAGGTAATATAATGCCATCTATTCCAAAGTCGCGGGGAATCTATTGCTATTATGTTGATCTCAGATAATAATTAATTAATCATTGCTTGCAACTGCATATGTAGGGCTTGGGATCGGTTCCGTCAGTTGGTCCGCGGGACTTGGAAAGAAAAACTTGGACGGAGGTTTCATTTTCCAGTGAGTACATGCATGATCCAAAATTATATTGAATTGAATCTCTAATTACAGTTAATATAAAGAGTATATTAAATCTCTCTTCGTTTCTCGTGTAGTGTGCAAAGCAGGAATATGGAACTAACTTATGCGGCTACTACGTATGCGAGTATGCCCACTGCCTATCAAACCAAATATGCACAACACGAGAGCTCGATGTACGTATACATAAACCATTCAAAAGTTCATTGCGTATCGATTTGTTAAGTTGTTTATTAATTTCATATATTGATACGTCATTATTTTCAGAATGATAGCGTATTCACATGAGGGATAATCTCCCACACAAGGATTTTATCACGGCTGTTCAAGAACAACTGATGGGATTCATCAACGGAGAAGCCCTTATCCCGACGGTGAATTCTACTACGACGGATCAACAATACATAACGTCGGTCCTTCCTCTTCTGACATAACGCCGGCGTCGAAGTCGAAGTCGTAGTATAGCTATAGCTACCGAGCAAAATGAATTGTACTATATATGCATGTATATATATATATTTATATATGTACACATTTGCTTTTGTGTTAATATATATTTTGGTAACATATATATATATATATATATAGCACATAAAATGTTAAGTAGCTTTAACTAAACATATGTGTGTGTATATAATATATGATTTATACATACACATATATATATATATATGACTATATATGTATTGTAACATATGTATGTGTGTGTGTGTGTATATATATATATATATATATATATATATATATATATATATATATATATATATATATATATATATATATATATATATATAATCAACCATGCAGCAAACAGGGCCATGCAAAAAAAAAAGGTCAGATCACCAACCGGGACTAAAGATCGATCTTTAGTCCCGATTATTTCACCCGGGAGGGACTACAAACGGTTTCTCCACCAGTGATGGGAGATCTTGTTTTAAAGATTTAATTATAACGAATCCAACTACATACTTTATTCATAGTTTGGATAAATAGTTCGAAAAAAAATTGAATTCTCAACCATTATAAACAGTTGTATGTACGGATACACCTACACTAACTATGTGAACGTTCGATTTCTTCCTTCCGCCCGGACGGCTGACGTGAAGCATTTTCCGATTTTTCCTCCCCACCCCTTCTGATCAAACCAACCAGATCAGCTACCGTTCGTTACACCAAGTAACAGAATTACTGCTTTCGGTTTTGCTGCTCCGCACATCCCTCTCACTCCTTGTTGGCCATAAGACCTAACTAAAACTGTAAAAGGATTACTACTAACCGCCTCTCCTGCGTCTCAGTAGGCCTAAGTAAAAGAATTATACACAGTAAAAAATTCGTTACACCGAGTAACAAAATTACTGCTTTGAGTTTTCCTGCTCCGCACATCCCTCTCACTCATTGCTGGTCATAAGACCTAGGTAAAAGGATAACTACTAACTGCCTCTCCTGCGTCTCAGTAGGCCTTAAGTAAAAGAATTATACATGGTAAAAAAAAAAGCGTTTGACATTTGTATCAGTCCTTCCAGTAGTAATTTTTTTATTTATCAGGTATAACTTTAGGTTAGTAACTTTTTTATTAACATGTATTTTGTGATCAATAATACATTTATTTCCATATATCTAATGAAATGTTAGTAAAACAATTTTCTATTGTCCTAATACCGGATAAAAATCTTTTTACTCTACATAGTATCGCATTGAATCATACAAATCTCTGTATGGAGAAAAAAAAATACACATCTAACAAAAGGAAAAACAGGTATGCGTCTCACAAGCACGGCAACAGCAAGACAACAGAAAAACATTTTAGTATTTTACCCTTCATTCCAGCAATCATGTTACAGAATAAAACAATTACTCGAATACTCACTCTGAATAACTTGTGACATTAACTTCCAAAGGAATAAAATAGTTACAATGAAAAAGAATGCAGCAAGGCACCACGTCCGACAGCTTCTCGACTTGCTGCCGGACGATGTCGGTCGGCCTGAGAGGCGTGCAGGCAGCAGCTGGGACGCTAGCTCCGACGAGCACTTCACTACCAGCGGTGATACAAAGGCGTGTTCTACCTCGTTCTTCAGTGCATGTCGTCCAGCCCGCTCGCGAGACTTCGAGCCTATTTGGTTGGTGTCTTCTCCTTCATACCTAAGAAAATTATAAGCCTGAGTGGCATATTCAAGGATGTAATATATGTTGCCTGGTTAGGCAGTCTGAGCCCGTGCTTGTTTGGTTGTCACTGGTTCCTAAGGAAAAAAAATCCATCATATGTTTGATCATTATTCTGGCTACAACCAATTTTTTTCTGAAACAATTATTACATTGTGCTGTCGAGTAGTAAAACGATTATTCTGGCTATGCTAAGTATTACATTCCTGAGAAAAAATAATCATTTTACTGATCATTGTGATAAGTATTAATATCCGACACAATTTTTTTTGCATGTAATTGCATCTCGTACAACCAAATTAATCTAGCACAATGAATCCCTACACAAATCAATCATATACAGAAGGAATGAAAATTAAGGTAATCTAAAAATACGGGGGGAAAGGAAAAAGAAAGCAAAGAATGAGCCGATAGTTCACCCGTATTGCAAATCGATCTGCTTACTCACCAATGGGTGGGAGAAATCCTTGGCTGGCGACACGGCAGCGACGCTGCTTTGTGTAGCCACCAAGATCCAGCAAGGAAATCATCAAGAAGGAAAAAAAGAAGAGAAAAGAACAGGAGCAAAGGGATCCCCAGATCCATGTCACATCCATCAAAGAATGGAAAAAAAAGGGGAAAAGAACCGGAGTAAAGAGAAGTAAATAAAAAACCATGCATCCATCACCCTTGCCGAAATGCGGTCGTCACTACCGACTCTCCTCCACGGCCTCCGCGATGACCTCCTCCCTCCTCGGAGTCGGAGGGCACCACCAAACACTGGCCTGAACCTACAGCGTGCCATCCCTGCCCGATCTGACCGCACGTGCATCGAATCCGTCCTGCAAAACACCCATGCACCCTCCTTTTTTTTTTTGCGAGGCACCCATGCACCCTCCTTGCTTCACCGGCTGGCGATGACGGTGACGAAACAACCCCTCATCAGTGCAATGCCGTTGTGCGGCGGAGTGGAGAGGGAGGTTGGTAGATCCATAAAAAAATGGGAACAAAACTGACTGGGATGATGGATGGTATATATGGATAGAATAAAATCGAGTAGTAAAACGATTATTCCAGTAGGGTGGGGGAGGGGATGGGATGGGAGGGGCGGAGTAAAACTATTATCCTGGTTAGGTGGGGGATGGGAGGGGAGGGGCGGAGGACGTGGGTGTGGTGTGGGTCAGGACGTGCACTACGTGGACTCGTAGAGGCGCTCGAAGTAACTAGGAGCACAGTGCGCTCCTAGTAGTAGTACTACTTTTTATGAATTAATATTCCTTTATGGAATTATTTTACAAATGAATGGGAACTAATATTTTATTTACTAAGAACCACTTTGTGAAACTAAGATTCTTAAAGAACTAATTTAAAAGCCTTTTCTCAAAATGTCTAGTTTGTCCCCCTTGTGGGTCCAGCCCAGCCCAAGAGCCTCAAACCATTAGTCTCCAAAAGTCTAGAGGTCGTCCTTCCTCTTTTTCAGTTCCTCTTGCTCCCCCTATCGGCCCAACTAGATAGTGTTAATGTCAAAATTTGGTAAACCCCGAAGTCGTCATTGGCCTAGAGTCAGTATCAGCTTCAGAGTCCTGGAATCGGCTGATGGGAACTGTTACTTGCCAGGAGTCGGATTCTTAGTGTATTAGGTTAAAGAAATTAATCGATTAATCAATTCGGTTATTTTGAATCTGATCACGCCAAAGATATCTGATAGTGCAAAGAATTTTATATGAATGATATCGGAAGAGTTTGAAGGTTCATGAAGTAAGTGGCCCTTTTGCATATTTTTAGTTTTCTATACATAAAATTATTAAAGAACCATGAACGTTCTGATTCATAGGAACGAAAATAAGTGGACCTTTGATTCATATGATTGGTAAAGGATTTCCATAGGATTCAACTTCTTATAGATTGTTTCATACGTGTCCCTTTGATTCATAGGAAAGAAAGAAAACTTTCCATAGGATTATATATTCCTATAATTCACATTTAGTAGGAAAAATAGCAAGAGGTGTGATTTTTTTTTGAATTTTTCTTTGTTTTTCCCATGACACTATCAAATGACTCGTGTGTAACTTTCATGTGTTTGTTGATTCATGTAAATTTTGAGAAGCATACAACTTCAATTCATGTGTTTTTCTTATCTTGTGAATCAAAGGGTCTATTGATCCCAGATTCCCAGTGCTATATTTCAGCTAAAATTTTTTTCTGTAACGAATAATGGAATAAGTTAAAGAGATAGGTCCAGAAACTAACATATGTTTGTAACTTTTATTTTATTTTTGTATATTTCTTTCTACGATTCACCGGTTGTGTTTTGCTTTGGCATGTAGTTTCGAAGCTAACATGAGTGGCGGAGCTTTGGAATGTGTTTGTTGATTCCTGTAGACTCATGTTAACTCATCTAATGAATTAATGATTTATGTTTTGGAATCATCTTTTTTTAGCTATCATTTACTGTAGAAATTTCATCATCAATTTATTCAACAATATTAAAATTTAGGGATTTGCTATACACATCTGCCTGCATTTTTTTTTGGGCAATTGTGTTCTTAGCCCTAATTTACAATTGTGATTTTACTCTTCTTTTTCAAACTATGTGATTTTGCCCTCATTTTTTGAAACTAAATGGTTTGTCTGCCCCTACTTTAGATATCTATTAGGTGGAACTAGATTAAATGGGTTGAACAGAATAAAAAATGACTTACAAAATGCTCCCGATCCCCTTTCCAACCTCCCTCCCTCCTAATCCCTAACCCTAGCTAGCGACGGTGGTGCACGCGGGCGAGCGAGAGGCGAGAGCGAGGAGCGCACAGCGTGGGACTGGCCAGCACGCGGTCATCGCGGAGCAGCACGGGGTGAAGTAGGCTGGGCCAGCGCAAGATGGTGATGTCAGGCTGAGCTAACGCATCTAGCGTGGTGGTCACTGGGCTCGTCGGCATGATCAGCCTCGGCCATAGGTGGAACCTCGACTGGTCACAACCCGCTGCAAAGTAGATGAGTACACACGTACTGCTGCATATATGTACTCCCTCCGTCCCAAAATGTACAGATTCGTACTCCTAGGATGGGTCTCATCCTATCCTGAGTTGCTACATTTTGGGATGGAGGAAGTAGCTAGCTAGGCTCGCCTACGGCATGATGGTGACAAGGAGGCAGTGGTGAATCCAGGACTGAAATAGAGGATAGGCTCAACGTCGAAGAACTAAAGTTAATTTATGGGGATGTGTTGATTTCTTAAACATAAAACAATAGAAACAAAACACAGGATCCTTTTGGACACTAATTTGTCGAATTCCGTTGAAATGAGCTTGAAACCTTACCATCTTATGTCTTCCAAACAAAAATATGGTCAGGTGCTCTATTTGGAGCATTCAATAAATATGCCATCCTTACTTCATCTCTTATGTCAGGAGAAAAAATATTAGGCATTCTTTATGCGGGATCAGCAAAAATTTCATTACGATCAAATTGTACTTGAGGCTTCTTTGGTTGATTTGTGCTCTCATCACTTGGAATTGGATGGGTACTAGTTAAATTGATTTGCTTGCATAATTTAACAACGTTTTTTTCTTCTCCATTGCAAACCTAAGAATAAATCAAAACTATGAATCATGAAGCTCAAATCTTGTAAATCCCATCATCTAGCTGCTGCTGTTGAAAACAGAGATGAGGTGAGGACTCACCGCTAGCGGCTTGACGCTTGCTCTGCTAGCTGCTGCTGCTTGCCCCCGCTGCGACGCTCCCTGATGCCCTTTGATGGATGGATGACCTGATAGCCAGATCTGCTAGCTGCTTGCCCCTCACTGCCTGCTGCTCGCCCCTCGTCGCCCGGTGCGCCGCTACGGCGCTGCGCCGCCGCCTGTCTCTGCCTGCCCGTGCACAGCCTCTGCCTGCGCCATGCTGCTCGCTGTCGCCGCCGGCCCGCCGTCGCCGGTCACGCCGCTAGACGCTAGGGTTGGTGGCTTTGTAGCGGCTTGCGTGATTGAGGAAGCGAGAGATCGAGGGAATCAGCGAGCTGGAGTAGATGGGCTATCCATGAAGTGACGAAGTCAACTGGGCCACAATTGGGCCTAATATTTTTGTGCGTGCGTACCGCTTCGCTGGCCTTCTTTCTCGACGCCAAGCGCTGCCGCTGTTCATCTTCTTCCCCAGCGAACGCCGCCATGATTTCTCCCGATGGTTTGTAAGATGATTTATCTAGTTAAAAAAATTTCGCAAAAATTGGAGGGTAGGCTAGAGCCTGATGGAGCCTACCTGCTAGAATCGCCACTGCAAGGAGGAGAAAAACACGAAAGAGATGAACATTTGAGTATTATTATTGTTTTCTACTTCCCCTTCTTCTTTGTCACTCCAACTTTGGTTTTTCATAGGAAAAAGTATGAATTACACCCCCGAACTATCGTGGTCGTCCGAATTACCCTCCTGAATCACAAAACCGGACATTCTTCACCCCCAACTATGCAAACCGGACGAATTACCCCCCCCCATCGGTTCAATCCACGGTGGTTTTGGTCTACGTGGCGTACGCGTGGCAGTCCAGTCAGCATTGTATTTATAAAAAAAATTACGGGACCCACGTGTCATACTCTTCCTCCCTCTCTTATCTCTCTGTATGCCTCACTTTTCCTCTCTCTCTCACGGGTGGGTCGGCGGCGGCAGGCAAACACGGGCGTCGGGCGAGGAGCTGAGGCCGGCGACGGGCGGGGGCGGAGGCGGTAGCGGGCGACGGGTGGGCGCGAGGCTGGCGACGGGCGGAGGCGGCGGGCGGCGGTCGAGGAGCCGAGGCCGGCGACGGGCGGTGGCGGAGAAGGCAGCGGGCAGCGGGTGGGCGCGAGGCTGGCGACGGGCGGGGGCGGAGGGGGCGGCGGGCGGCGGTCGAGGAGCCAAGGCCAGCGATGGGCGGTGGCGGAGAAGGCAGCGGGCGGTGGGTGGGCGCGAGGCTGACGACGGGCAGGGGCGGCGGTCGAGGAGCCGAGGTCGCTCGAGCGCCGGCGGGCGGCGAGGAGCCGAGGCCGAAGGTGGCTGCGTGCGGCGGGCGCGGCTCGAGCGACCTCCTTCTTGCTGCCCTCACGCGTGCGCGCGTGCAAGGGGCTTGGAGAGCGCGCCGCTAGCCCACTCGCGGCGGCGGCGGAGGAGAGGCAGCGGTGACGCGAGGAGCCGCGGCCCCCGTGGGCCACCGTAGACCCCTCGCGCCAGCGGCCACCGCGTGCCTACGACGAGGAGGAGGAGCCCGCCGCCCACCGCGCGTCCCCGCTCGCCTGGTCGGCCTCCGCCTCCGTCGCCGGCCACCGTCGTCCTCGGGCCCCCTCCGCCACCCGCAACTGACTCCGCCCCCGCGCGCCGCCGTCCTCACCTCACTTCTGCCATGCTCCTCTGCCGCCTCCGCCTCCGCGCCGACGTCCACGCCGTCCGTGCCGTCCTCGCCGACCGCCCGTCCTCGCGCCGTCCTCGCCGACCGCCCGTGCCCACCGCCCATCCTCGCCGTGCGCGCTGCGCGCCGGCCTTCTACGCCCCTGCCAGTTGCTGGCTTCGGCTCCTCGACCACCGCCCGCCGCCTCTGCCCCCGCCCGTCGCCAGCTTCGCGCCCACCCGCCGCCCGCTGCCGCCTCCGCCCCCGTCCGTCACCGGCCTCAGCTCCTCGCCTGCCGCCGCCGACCCACCCGTGAGAGAGAGAGGGGAAAAGTGAGGCATAGATTGAGAGAGAAGAGAGAGGACGAGTTTGACATGTGGGTCCCATAATTTTTTTTATAAATACAATGTTGACTGGACTGCCACGCATACGTCACGTAGACCAAAACCACCATGGATTGAACCGAGGGGGGTAATTCGTCCGGTTTGTATAGTTGGGGGTGAAGAATATCCGGTTTTATGGTAAGGGGGGTAATTCGGACGACCGCGATAGTTCGGGGGTGTAATTCGTACTTTTTCCTTTTTCTTATTGTACTGGTTGGTTCCTGAACTGGACATGAACAAGGCTATTCCGTTGATCGAAAGAAAGAGATGAGTGGTGTTTCTTGTTTGCATATTTATCTTTTAATAAATAAATCCCTTGATTGTTTTGGTACATATACCGTGAATCGCATTTTCCTGTGCACACAGTCGCATTTTGCTGTTAAAATGATTAAATATGCAGGTGAAGTTTATACCTTCTTTTTTCTTCTGCAATCGTGACACACAGCCCAATCAACCTAAACACAGAATCCTCGCAAGGGAAATGTGCAAGGGCATATATGCCTTTTTCACCGGCATGTTAACACCGTTAAGCCCTCCTAACGGAATATGGGCAATCTGAGGTTCAGTTCAAAATAGTAATGGCAAAATTACAAAGTTAAAAAAAAAGAGGGATAAAATAATAACTGCATATGCAAATAAGGGTAAAAACACAATTACTTTTTTTTTGTTTTGTCAGGCAAATTTGCGGCCATCCGATTTATTCCAACATTCGTGCTACGGCTTATTGGGCTCGTCAAGACAATATTGTATGAACCCGTTTGCTTTCCTAAAATCCGAATGGCAAGAGGAGAGCGGTACGCTACGTGCCTACGTGTCCATATTTGCAGGCACACATACACACACGCTGCCCGTACACAGAGAAGACAGAGAGGAGGGGAATGGATGAGCGGCTTCTCATCGGCGGCGACGACGTGCAGGCGTGCAGCGCGTCTTCTCCGGCGGACGGCGCCCCTGTGCTTGGCGTCTCCTCCATCGGTGACGCGTCGGTGTCTTCTGCGGCGGACGGCACCCCCCCTCCCCCCTCCGGGCCTAGCCTAGTCGTCTAGTCGACTCCTCGTGGTACGATTTACCGGCGGACACATCTGGCACAAAGCGCGGAGCGGCGTTTGGTCATGGGCAATGCAGGGCCTGCTTGCCTGCCTGTTAGAAGTATACTCCCTCCGTCTCAAAATAAGTGCAGTTTTACACTATTCACGTTCAACGTTTGACCGTCCATCTTGTTTGAAAATTTTTTATGATTAGTATTTTTATTGCTATTAGATGATAAAACATGAATAGTACTTTATGTGTGACTAAATGTTTTTAATTTTTTCACAAATTTTTCAAATAAGACGGACGGTCAAACGTTTAACGTGAATAGTGCAAAACTGCACTTATTTTGGGACGGATGTAGTAATATGTTAGTTAGACATAAGAGTCAAAAATAAATTATAGAGATAAAATATATCCTAGACATAGAATTCTAGAGATAGAATTCTAGAGATAAATCTAATCTTATTTGTATTGTACTCCAAGTCTCTATCTCCTCTGTACTCCTGTATATACCCCATGAGATGATCGATATAATAGATAAGAAAACAACACAATACAACAATTAAATATTTCCACATGGTATCAGAGTTATAGACCCACGTCGTTTGATCCTCAGTTCATTGACGCCTTCCACTGCGCTCCGGGGAGATGAGATCAATGATATAATCTCCCTAGGGCACCGTAATTAGCCACAAATAATTTATAGATTAAATTTTACCAATATTAACCTTAGATCAATTCTGTCATTAGCCACATAAAAGCCAAAAGCCTGATCCTCGAGAGAACAGAAGCAGCGAGTATGAGCAAGAAAATAAAGGAAGCAATGCAGGAGAGATCAATCAAAGGCTGTCATGCGCATGCTGCACATCGATTGGATCGTGTGGCACATGCATGCATGGATCAATCCGTGCGCATGCATGCATGGATCGTGTGGCACATCCTCGGGAAGGCAGCAGGCAAACCACGAGAAGGTCAAACTCGGGTGCACAGGCGCATGGACCTCCCCGCTGACGACTTCATCTACATCGACAGATGTACGACTACGTCACCAAAACGATCGTCTTCACCGACACAGCATCGTCGATGGTCTTCATCAACATGGGAACACACACCGCCACCAACTCGTCTATATAGATGGACACCTCGCGTTCTCTGACAGATTAATCTGCCAGACGCTTCTTCGACGACATCGACCGCGTCCTCTACGACGGCAACGACCGCGCCACCGACGACGGCATCGATCACGTCATCTACAATGACAACGACTGCATCAACTCGGCATCACTATTGCGATGACCGCTACACGACGCAGAAGGACCAACCAAAAGTGGTGGTTTCATCGTCAACGACGTCCTTTGACATATAAAAGACGTCCCCAATGGCATCCTCTGACATCTACAAGATGCAAGATACAAACAATTGCAGTTTTCGTTTTCACACCATGGCGTAAATTTTTTTTTTTGCCTTCAGCTATTTGCGGCTACATCAACTACCATGACCACGGCTACTACATGAATGGCTACATCGACGAACGTCTACAACAAGAATCATCTACGGCAACTTCAATCAAAGCATCCGTGTCATTGCTATCGTCTATGACACTTCCGCTATGACTGCGGGAGGAAATGGAGGAGAGTCAAGGGATGACACAGAAGGGGACGCAGACACCAGGTGGAGGACCGTCCATCAGAGATGCAATCGATGATGGTGAGTTAAAGAAGATGAAGAAATAGAAGATTTCAAATCCAGTCGCAATCGTTCGCTTCGCTTCCGTTACGACTGAGGGGGAATGTTAGAAGTATAATATGTTAGTTAGAGATAAGAGTCAAAAATAAATTATAGAGATAAGATATATCCTAGAGATAAGATAGCGTCCTAGAGATAGAATCCTAGAGATAAATCTATTCTTACTTATATTGTATTTACTCCTATATATACTCCATGAGAGGATCAATGTAATAGATGAGAAAACAACACAATACAATAATTAGATTTTCCACACTGCCTCCTCTCGCGTAGGCAGCCGCGTGCTTGGCGATTGGAGAGGCAACTCGAGCTCTCCAGCAAGATCGACAACTGCAGGGACAGAGAACTGATCACCAAAATCGCAAATTGATGAACTGAAGGTGTTGATTATTTTTGTTCTTTTTTTCTCGTTGATTTGAGATGGATATAGAGGCCGGTGTAGTGTCAACTGAAATTTGATAGATGCAGCTCGTTGGACTTCAACTCCTATTGCCTAT